AGGACCAAACCCCAACAATTGTATTCATTTTCTTCCAAATGAGCAGATTATCAATCAATGAAATTCATTTCCTTTAAATGATACAATGTTTTTAGCTCATGATTTGCGAGCTAATATATTTTACTGTTTATCTTGCAAAATCAAATATGGCGTCAGCGACACAAAGGCTCCAAGTTTTCAAAGGTCCAACATAACCACATAGTTTACATTGCATAGATGCATATGTATGAATTGTCAGCCATACGGAAACTTGCTCAGTCGCTCATCTGGTACAGAGTTATTTCTATGATTTAAAGTTTGAGCCCCGTGAAACACAATTTGATGATTTGAAGAGCACAAAAGCTAAGAATAAACAGAAAATTCATTATGTGTCTTATGTGTTTTGAATCACAAGGTTTAGTATGGTTAAAGCTAAAATAACATCATTCAAATAGAGCAAACATTAGAAACAAAACTATTTAAACTAAACCAAACAGATATCAAATAAACATTTAGAATCATGAACAAATAATCAAAACTGCTTCAGTCAACTTCTTAGTCCTCACTCCATTATATTTCAGTATTTAGTAATAGAGAGTTTATTAATACTAATACGTTTATCCAAACAAAAGTGATGGTTTACTACAAAGTTTACTATGCTAACGTGTATGTGTATTTAATATGACAAAAAAAACAAAAAAAAAAAACATGCAAACGGCAATAAATAAAATGGGCAAAATAAATAATGCTGCCTTTTATTATTAGCATGTGCTTTAACTGTCCGTTGTGAATGTACAGCTGCAAGCTTCTTTGTATTTCGGAGTCTTTAATGTGAACACTATAAATACACAGGCAGACAGACAGTCAGAGGTGTGAGCTCAGGGTCAGTCCATTAACAGACGGGGTTTAACAGAAGCTGGAGCTTCTCCTGAACTTTAATTCCACTAAAATGACCCACTACCACCATTAGAGCACGTCGACAAGTGATTATTTTATTTTCACATTTATCACACACTCACAAACATGATTACCACAATAAGAAGAACATTAAAACGACATAGTTCAAGTAAGCCTGTGTAGCACAATATGGTACTCATGTCCTGATCATTCAAAATGTGTTTTACACGGACATACACAACAAATAGACATAACGTTTAAAAGCTTAATGCAGTAATCAGGATAAAGAGTATACAAAAACGTATAAAATTGTTTTAAATACATAATCTGCTTGTAAAATTTAGTGTATGAAATATTGTTTCTGGGTCTAAGCTTCTACTCATTTGAGTTGATAAAACTCTCAATAGCTGTTTATGACCAATGCTTGGTCTTATAACGCATTAAACACATTCCTGGCACCAGTATTTGAACCATTTATAAAAAAAATAAACATGAATGTAAAGATTATGATAACAATATTCAATAGTATTACAGGAGACTGTAAGCGTATACCATTTGATACCATTTGTTGTTCACTTTTGGCATCTGATAGAGAATTGGACTATTTAATGTTAGATGTCAAACATAAGCATATAAGGGTTAAAATGGTGCATTAAAATGAAATTATAAAATGAAGCTCAGTGGCTAAATTTCAGCTTCCAAGTCAATCCCCTAAAATCCTCTCCTGAATTTGCAGTAGTTCCAGTCATTCTCGACTGGCTTCTTTAATTCATTCCCATTTCCTTCACCCAGCCACCCTTAGCCTCTGCAGTGTAGCTGTGCACACAAGGGTGACCCAGACACCTATATGTGTCATGCATGCCTCTTTGGGAAGATGAGACCTGCTTTTCACTCTTGCCGAGTGCCTCCCGAGTGTTTGAGCAGCCATCTTTATCCCTCAGGGTGAAATGTGAGGGGAGGAGGCGTGTGCTACGCTCCATCCCCTGAAACCGACCCACAAGGAAACACGCAATCAAAATCCTGCACAGGTTATGCCAGGCATCCCACACTTACGCTGGCTGGACTTATAAATAGCCGGCTCAGGGGAGGAGGGTCGGGGTCTAACACTCACACAGGGCCCTATTAAGAGCTCATCGGAAGAACCGTCTCTCCTTGAGCTCCTTCACTGGAGAGGAGCTCATCTTCATCTCCACCACCACCATCATTATCATTACTAGAGTGATTTCAGTCCATCAGGGCTCTTTAGGGGTCACAGAGAAGATTGTTTCTACGTAATCGTGTGTTTGAACAAGTGAAGTTTCACAAACTAATTTTGAGGGGAGCACATGCTATTGATCAAAGCTAGTCTCTCATCTATCATCGATAAACCAATCAAATGAATCCAAGCCTACATTAAATAGCTTATCTTTGTTTTGTTTTTTTTGTTTTTTTTTGTAGAATCCCCCATCCACACCTTTTTCTTTTTCTAGGGGGAGCTCTTGAGACCTACCTGATCTTGGACCCCCCTTTCATGTTAGTGTAAATGACCAGGCGGTAGCACTGAGCTCAATTATCTCAAAGCTCAGGGCTCTCTCCCGGGAGAGCAAGCCAAACCAATTAGTGGGACATTCTACCAGAATGTACAACACATTATCTGTCCTTAAAATAAATATACAGTAAATAAAAAGTATTTCATCCCAAAAATGTCTAAAATAGACTGATGGTTGATTTAGATGAGTTATTCTGTAAAAGAATATGTCATTCATTTGTCAACGCAGATTTTTGTTCTTAATTAAAAACACTCTACAAATGTACAAACCCTGTCATTGTCCTTGTCCTCAGACCAATTGAACCCACAGCTTTAATAGTTTTGTTATGCTAAAAACTATAGAAAGTATCAAGCAATAGTGAACTCTTGAAACATGTCTTTTATGGATGATTTGGAACAGTGTCACATTGTTAGCCTAAGTTAACGTGAAATCCACAGTAGGATGCTTTTGATTGGTTTTCTTAAAGTCCTGCAGGTTTCCATGTGATTATTTTATTGATTGAAGATATTAAATTGACATTCATCTTGAACAGTGTAATTGGGTAGCAATAAGTAACATTTCAGATACATTAATTTTATCCACAGCAAGTGTACACTTTTTTTGTTTAAAAATGCATAACAGTTCAAATGACTTAAAAAGAAGACCCCTAAACAAGGAAATTGTGTCCATTAGAAATGTGTGCTTTATAATATTGATTATTAAAGCTTCTAAACATTTGCAGATGTTTACATTTGAACCAGTTGTTTCCAACTCCTAAAGTTATTTCAGTAAACAAGGCTTTGTTACTTCAAGGGTTAGTTCATTGCTAAATGAAAACTTTGATGGTTTGCTTACCCTCCAACGAATGATGCTTATTCTTGTGTGTGAAGCAGGTCGAGTTGAGCTTATTTTTGCTGATAATTGGTTATTTGCAAATCAAAGCCTGTTTTAAACATGTGCATAAAATAAAATGATTGTGTGTCTTTAAAAGACTTAAGAGATTAGAGATATAAGCAGTCAGCTCAGCAGCCATTGTAATGGGCTAAAAATTGTCATGTTGAATTGCTCCAAAAGAGCAATCATTTAAAAGATCCACAGTCTTTACACTCTTTAAGAAACAAATGTATGATTGCCTTCTCTAAATGTGACTCGGAATAGCTACCGTACGCTCAAAAAAATATTTAGGCCTAACAAATAGGATATATGTATTCTGATTGCATATAAAATTTTCATTCATTTGTATGACATACTTTTAACATAATCATTATTGAGCTGGCAGAAATTATGTGATTGATATTTGTCAGCCCTAGCTGAGTCAGTTGGCATTTCTGTGGATTTTGCATGTTCTCCCCAATGGGGCCTTCAGTTTCCCAACAAGTCCAAAGACATGTGCTATAGGTGAATTAGGTAAGCTAAATTGTGCCTAGTGTATGTATGTCCTGGTCTTCCAGGTTGGGAGTTGAGCATTGGGCCAACGACCCACCTCGTAAAAATGAAATGTTACAAAACACAACATGGTGAGGCTAAATATCAACTTTGATATGCAGTTGAAGTCAGAATTATTAGCTCCCCCTCAATAATTAACTCTCCTATTTATTTTTTTCCTCAATTTCTGTTTAATGGAGAGAAGATTTCTTGAACACATTTCTAAACATAATAGTTTTAATAACTCCTCTCTAATGACTGATTTATTTTATCTTTGCCATGATGACAGTAATAATATATAGTGATAATATTTTACTAGATACTTTTCAAAACACTTAAAGTGACATTTAAAGGTTTAACTAGGTTGATTAGGTTACTAGGCCGGTTAGGGTAATTATGCAAGTTATTGTATAATGATGGTTTGTTCTGTAGACTATTGAACAAAATATAGAGCTTAAAGGGGCTAATCATTTTGTCCATAAAATGGTGTTTAAAAAATTAAAAACTGCTTTTATTCTAGTCGAAATAAAACAAATAAGGCTTTCTCTAGAAGAAAAGTATTATCAGACATACTGTGAAAATTTCCTGAATCTGTTAAACATCATTTGGGAAATATTTAAAAAGAAAAAAAAAAGCTCAAAGGAGGGCTAATAATTCCGTTATCAACTGTATAAACAGCCCTGGGAGTACGTAAACCTAAATTTAAAAAATAAGAATGAGACTTTTGTAATAATATCAATGAATTCAATGTGTTTTAAATGCTTCTTTTTAATTCATCTATTGTGTGGAGTATGAAGTTGTGCCAATTTTGCCCCTGAATATTAAGAAAACCAATCTCATAGAATTTAACTAATTGGATCCAGGTTTTTTTTTTACAGCCAGATATATTTATACCATATCCATTAATTGATTTAATCTAATAGTATTTGATTTGAATCTGACAACATACTGTACATTAAAATGAAAGAGATATTAACTAAATTTAAAAGGGTACAAGCAGTAAACTTTGTCGTTATTCAATAATCTTCAACTTCAATAAGCTTTATCGTAATTTATTTTTCTGAGAGTAGTAAAAAGTAAAAGTACTTTGATATCTATTTTACTTTGATATTTGAATGACATTAAATGCATCTTTATCATTGCTCAGTTAGATGTGCTCTTGACATTATTCTATAATTTGTCCTCCTAAAGGTCGTATGGGGAACTGACCAACTGCACGTTCCTGGTGGCTCTAAAGATGAACTGTTTCTGGCCCAACCGCATGGTGGACGAGTTCTTCATCCGGGTGCACAGGCATTACTTCCATGACTGCTCACTGTCTGGACGGCTGCTTCACGACCCGCCCAATCGGATCCTGGGGCCTTTTATCGTGGTGCCCATTCTGGTGACGCTGCTCATGACTGCTCTGGTGGTGTGGAGGAGTAAACGCAGCGAGGGAATCGTATAAATCCAACAACTTCCACCTGCAGCAAACAATAGAGAAGGTGATTTCACAAACTCAATGAGTTGAAACACTTTTACTGAACACTGCCATGGTGTTAACTGAAAAATCCTTTATATGGACAAAACCTAACACAGTTTCTTTTAGCTAGTTTTCAACTAAATATTTTGTCATGCCAGCATTTTTTTCAGTAAAAAGGATCTTCAAAACAAATGCAAGTCATTATTGCGATGACGGATACACATCACCTTGGATGGATAAACACCAAACAAAAGGAAGAACACTGTTTTATTCTGTGTTTGACTGTGATGTGAACACTGTACTCAGTCACTTTGTCACCTGTAAACCTCAACACATTTATAATCGTGCTTGTGCCAAATGATGATATTTTTGATGGCAGACATGATTGCTGTTATTTTGTTGATTTAAAAAAAAAATAGAACAATGAACATGCCAATAGTATTTACAATATTAATGACACCCCCCCCCCCCCCCCCCCACCAAAAAAAAAAAAAAAGAATGGAGAAATTAAATGTAAATTGATTATTGTATTTAAAAAGTGTGTCCAGAATCAGACATTTTGGTAAGACACAAAATGCCCTTTAAAGTCTAGTAAGCTGTCTATCTGTTTAGTAACAATCATATTTTGTGATTCACAAATGTTCTTCATTTATTTGTGGTTGTGAATTGCATTATGGGACCTTGATCTCTGCTTTCTCTGCTTTTGATGTTGAAAATTCAACTTATACTATTTAAAAGGGTGCCTTTAATTGAAAGTTTAGTAGTTTAACATAAAAAGTAGTTTAAAAATAAAAGTCACTTTTTTAATCGTTTCAAGGTTAAAAGTTGTTGGAAGAAAGATCAAGGATCCATAATGCAATTCAAAAGCATAAATAAATGGATCACATAATATGAAAAAATAAATCACAAAATAGGAAAAACTGCTAATTTTCTGATAATTTTTTACAGTGTGCATTTTAAGATGGACAATGTCTCTGATCAGTGAGATTCTGATGCCTTGGCCAAAATCTAATGCCGAGTTCTTACTGGACATTTTTAGCCCTGATTTCCATTCGCTAACAGGTTTTGTGAAAGTGAAATTCCTGGCATGAAACCCTATGCGCTTGCAGGCTGATAGGTCACCTAATCTGCTCCTACATGGCACAGGAGATTGGCTGCTGTCACCTTGGCAGCCAATGAGCTTGCACCTCATCAATTTAAAAACTCTGCCATTCTACGCTTTTTAAGCTGTGGTGCATTTTCAAAGACCCTCCTCAACCCCAGCTCTACCTGTGTTTAGATCTGCTACGGGGGTTACATGTATATTAAGTTTGCAACAGCAGCGTAGCAGATCTATACCAAGACCAAATACATCAACATTGCCATATACTGTACATATTCAATCTCGAGAGCGTTCATGACAGAATTGAGGACAAATGCCTCAAATCAGAGTTAAATCGGTTCTCATTCATGAGTGACAATCAGGACCTGTCAGTGATTCAAAATTCTGCTGTGTGAAAGGTGTTCTGACTGGCAAAACACATCAGTGATGTCTCACAGCCAATAAAACAGGGTAGTGAGGACTGTGGGGAGGAGTTTTAGACTACAATATCAGAAAACATGGCTTTGGTTCTGAGAAAAGTTCCTTCTCAACCTATTTGGACCTAAGAAATGGAGGAATTTGGGAAAACTTTACCATAATCATCTATGTCAGGGGTATCCAAACTCAGTCCTGGAGAGCCGCTGTCCTGCTGAGTTTTGCCCCAACTTGCTTGAACACACCTGCTAGGAAGTTTCTAGTGATATATAGTAAGGGATTAGGTAGTTCAAGTGTGTTTGATTAGGGTTGGAGCTAAACTCTCCAGGACACCCCCGACTTTGAGTTTGGACACCCCTGATACATGTCTTTTAGATGTTTTGTCTGATATGTACTACAATGGAATATTTACACCAAAAAACTCCTCTAGTCAATTCTTCGGCAATGTGAACACAACAGCAACTGAATGCTACCCCAGAGAATCATTCTGATTGATGATTTGGAAAATCAGGCAGTGTGAACTTGGCATTAAAAAAAAAATCTGTTATTTTACGTAAAATAATGTAAAATAATGGCCATTAAATTACAGAAATTTGCTGTAAAATAATGACAGTTAAATTGCAGAAATTTCCTTAAATTTTAATTTCCGGTAAATTTCTGTAATTTAACATCTTTTGTTTTACAGTAAATTTCTGTAATTTAACATCTTTTATTTTACAGTAAATTTCTGTAATTTAACATCTGTTATTTTACAGTAAGAAAATGTGAAATAATGGATTTTTTTTCAGTCGCATGTGTTCTTCAGAGAAGCCAAGCCCAGAATGCACTGCTACTAAATTAAAAGAGCTCAGAGGAATTGATACTTTCCAATATGAAAAGAAATCAATAAAAGTTGTAATTAAAGGTAAAAGTGGAACCGGTGTGGTCTTTTTTCATGTGATGACTGTTTAGGAGGATTACTTAGTAAAAGTCACTTTTTCATGAATGTTTATTGAGTTACTAATGAGAGTAGAGCACGTCAGAACTGTGGTCTAAAGTGGGCGCAAAACGAGGTATCTGTAATGATTTTATAAATATCCTCCTAATTTAAATAAATGAGAACAATTTCGTAAAGGCAGTGTATACTTACAATTAGATACTGAATTACTAAAATGTGCTGAAGCCATCATGGGTATTTGTGTGGTACTGTATGTTTTATTTTCAGTGAATAATAAATGTCATCTCAATTAGGCTTGTACAATTCAATGCTACTTCTGGAGCTTTCAAGATAATTTAATTCCGCCATACAAAGACTGCAAACGACTATTGTTTGGCACCATCTGAGTTTTTGAAATCAGACATAACTGCGATTGAATGCCTAATATGCTAAGGGACAATGCGCAATTTGCATTATGTTTAATGTTTTCATTTGCTCCAAAGTCAAAAGTGTTTGCTCAGTTGGCTGAACTTGTGAACTCCCAGTTGGGAAAAAGAGTTGTTGACATCTATTTGTAGTGTATATACTGTAGTGTTCAGAATCAGAGCTGCAGTCTTTTGAACTGACAGTGGCTGAGAGAATTGAAGAGAGTGTTTTATTTTTTTGGCAAGAGGCCATGTTAAAGGTTTAAGACACCCTGGAGTACATTTTAAAATTTTACATATTTCTGTGTGTTGAGCATCATTTAAGACAACATTAGCACCTGTCAGCTTTAATTGTGGGGAAAACTGGATAATTTTGAGCTTTCGTCCGCTAATTTCATCTTCCAGGTTTAAAATTATTTTTGGGGCGGGCATGATGTAGCACGCATCTTCTAGTGGAGTGATGATGCGTCGGTTTCTCATTATTATTCATAGCTGAATTTTCTTATCCTATGAGAAGAGCCTGCGCCTTCATTATTTATGGGAGCACATGCTTTCCAAAGGCAAGGCACACCTAGCAAGCTGTAGAACCCAATGAATAGGTAAAACTGTGTCCACGCACAGCACAAGTCATATATGTTTGCTTCGATGATCCACAGTGTTTGTTCATGTTTTTGCTGTCAGGGCCGATACAGCAAAGCTGTTGGTTTGCAAGCATTTCTGGAGAGCTGTAGGGGAATTGGAGAATGGTGGACTTTTAACAGTTGAGTTTGTTACTATTCAGACAAATCACCTATATCCACACTGCCGTGTTTGCCTATTACTGGATTACAGGCAGGGCTAATGGTTGGAATAGACAGGGCAAGAGACGTTCTGCACTGCTATCCGCTGTGTCTGCTTTCAGACCCGGGGATTGAGAAGGAGAGAAGTTATAAACTATAAATCATAAATGATAGTGTTTATATAAATATGATTATCTTTATAATGACATAACAAACTGTGGTTATGTGCATATGAAATTACAAATAACCAGCCTGATCTCATGAGAAAACGTAAGTATTTTATGTTTTGTCAGTTTAGGGGCTAATTCAGTTCAGTTGTACGAAAATTTATGATTTTAAAAAGGAGGCGTAGCACCCAACCCCACCCCTAACCCTAACCGTCATTGGGGGAGGAGCAAATCGTACTAAATTGTACGAATTAGATCGTACCAATTCATACAAATTAGCCACTGAATCAAAAAGTAACGATTTCCGTTTGCATTGGGATAATAAATAGCAGGACATGAAATTACTTACTTATTTCTTTGCATTTTAACGTTGTAAACTATAAAATCATGGGTCTCCTCACAGTTTGTGTGTCATTTTGTGAGCTAACTGATGACAGTTGTTCTCTTCCCTGTTTTTCCATGCTCTGCTGGCCACACCCGCTCCTCCCTTCTCCACGGCCATCTGGGAGATTTTTTTTTTTTCTAAATTGCTCCAAGATGGGTGTGGAGGAGGGAGGTGAGGTAGACTATTTTTTCCGTTCAAAACATCCCACCGGCTAAGAAGTTTGCTGCATTTATATGTAATAATTTATTTATTAGTACTAAATGGATGTTTTCATTCACATGGTTTGGGTAATTGCTTTTTTTCAGCTATGTCTGTGTGTCTCTGGAGCTCTGTCTCCACTGTGAGCTCTTTAAAAGCATGTGGTGAACCGGACATCGGCACAGCAGACTCTCTAATATCAGCTCCGTTTTAAAGCCTCTGATATCTGCTGTAGTTCTAATAAAGCCGTTTGCCTCGGCTCTTTCATTCAGGACATTTCCCCTCATTACTTTGCTTTGGAGCACATCATATGCTGTCAGAAAAACAAACGGACACACGAGAAGGCATGTGGTCAGGAGTCAGCAGAAGTTTAACTGGTAAACACCTGCAGGTCAGATCGCTCCGCTTATATACTGTATCCCCAGTTAGTTGACTGTTGGTGCCACATGATGTTGATGTTTTTCTGTGTTGTTGCTGGAAGGATGTTTGTGGATTCATGTTTTATTCTCTTTTCACCCTGAGCTTAATTTATTTTTTAAGCAGGGAGATGAATAAGAAATTATTGTAAATATCTGCCTGCTCCAGAAACGCAATGATGTGTCACTATTTTTAACACAAACTTTAAAGTGCTGTGCTTGTCAACCTAAAGCACAAAGGAAACAAGAATTTGGCTTCATTTTAATAAAGCTCTCAGAAGTACAATGCAATCTGGATCATGAAACTGATGAGTTGGCAGAAAAATATATGAAGAAAATCAATACAGTCAGGTCTCATTACTCAGGTTGGACATGACAGATTTTTATATTTTGTAGGTATTTTTTTTTTTTTACATTGAATCACACTTTTTTTATATGAATATCAAAGTTTTGGAGACTGGATGTTTTTGAAAGTTATAGTTCAGTTTTTGATAATGTTGTATTCTCTCTTTAAGAAAAAGGTGTTTTTTCATGATATGTTTAGTCTATATACGGTTGAAGACAGCATTATTAGCCTAAATTTGAATTTATTTTTTCAATTATTTTCCAAATGACGTTTAACAGAGCAAGTAAATTTACACAGTATGTCTGATAATATTTTTTCTTCTGGAGAAATCTATTTTGTTTTATTTTGGCTAAAATAAAAGCAGTTTTTATTTTTTTAAGGTTTTATTTTTTACATTTTAAGGTCAAAATGATTATCCACCATAAGCTATATATTTTTTTTGATAGTCTACAGAACAAACCATCATTATACAATAACTTGCCTAATTACTCTAATCTGCCTAGTTAACCTTGTTACCCTGGTTAAGCCTTTAAATTCCACTTTAAGCTGTATAGAAGTATGAAATCATCTGTCATCATAGCAAATATAAAATAAATAATTTATTAGATATGAGTTATTAAAACTATTATGTTTAGAAATGTGTTGAAAAAATCTGCTCTCTTATAAACAGAAATTGGGAAAAAAATAAACGGGGAGCTAATAATTCTGACTTCAGCTATAGTTAAGTATTTGATGATATTTTATTCTCTCTTTAAGAAAAAGGTG